TTATGAATTTTCTGTTATGAGATTATGAATTTTCATAAAATTCATAATCTCATAATAGAAAATTCATAATCGCATAAAAGTAAAATATTTATTAAATTATGAATTTTCTGTTATGAGATTATGAATTTTCTGTTATGAGAATGAGATTATGAATGTAATGTAGATTCATAATCTCATAACAGAAAATTCATAATTTCATAACAAAAAATTCATAATCTCATAACTGAAAATTCATAATCTCATAACTGAAAATTCAAAATCTCATAACTGAAAATTCATAATCTTATAACAGAAAATTCATAATCTCATGGTTCCAAAGTGAATGTGTAGGCATGGTTCCAAAGTGAATGTGCAGGCATTGATTCATAATTTATGAATGTCCGTGATTTCGAATGAGAATATGTAGGCATGGTTCCAAAGTGAATGTGTAGGCATGAATTCATAAATTATTGATGTCCGAAATCATTGCTCACCTCAAATTAAAGTGAAACCGCGAAATGTGAATGAAGAAGAAAAGTCACGCAATTAATTAAGAAAAAGAAAAAGAAAAAAGAAAAAAAAAAAGATAACGGTATACTAACACCGTTGGAACCGTGTTCACCATGAATGGTGAACACGGTTCCATGGCATAATGATTGATTGGCAGTTGAGAGATGGAGAGGAATGAAGAAGCACTAAGGTGGTCAAAAAAATTTTAATCTTAGAAAAAAAATATACTTTTTAAAAATCTATTTTGGTGATATTTTTTTTACTAATTATTTTAAAATTTGAAATTTTTTTGATCATATATATTTAGAAATAAAGAGAAGAAAAGGATGGAAAAAAAGAGGGTTTGACAATTTATTTTTAGCTGATAAGTGACCGTGTTAGTTATTTTGATCAAATCAGTATTAATGGTTTATAAGAAAATACTTTGGTAAATTAGTTGTTTACTATTAGAGAGTACTATGGAAATGATATTAAGGAATATGAATATCTTATTTTATTTATTGAATTATTCCTAAGTTATTTTTAATTTTAGGCAATAATTTAAAATAATTTTTATAATAATAATAATAATTGTTATTTTCACTATTTTTGTTATTTATTATTTTAACTATTTTTTGTTTTTTATTAAATAAAGTTAATTCAATATTAAAAATATAAATCTGAATACAAATTGAACAAATATAAATACAACAATAACGAAAATTATAAATAGTAAATTGGACTGTTAAAAAGAAAATATGATTAGTTGATATCTTTTTAGTAATTTTTTCATTTTTAATTATTAGCGTCAATAAGCTATGCTAAAAAACTATTTACTAAACACTACTTTTAGTTGTTTCTCAAAATTAAACACTTGAAATGGATCAAAAAAGTAAAAAAAAATTGGCTTATATTGGGAAGATTTGGAAAACCGTTCATAAAGACAAACAAGATTTATAGATTTCAGTTGAGCACAAATGTTAATTAAAAAAGAAAAATTATTTGTCTTTATCCTTTTTTTTTTTTTTTTTTTTTTGAGTACATTATTGACTATGATGGTAAAAAAATAACGAGTGTTTTTCTAAATACTCAAAGTGGTCAAAATTAAAACTCATTTTCAATGATAAAAATTACAATTTATGCGGTTTACCATACCTTGATCATTCATTCACAATTGAGAAACAAGTATATCTATGTACATACATACATATATATTGTGTGTGTGTGTGTGAAGCTTTTTTTTTTTTGTTTTTTTTTTTTTCCTTTTTCTTTTTCAGGTGTGTTTATCCATTTTTTTTTTATGTCTCTTTAATTTATACTTCAATTTATATGTGTTGGCTTCACCATAAGTTAATGAAATAATAATTCTATGTTGGAGGAAAACGTAGCAAAACTTGTATATATACTCTACAACTTTATGTATATATACATACATATATAAATCTTGAATATAAATAGCCCTTTTTAGACTCATAAAATAAAAATATCATATTTATGTTTGTCATATCAGGAATGTTAAGCTATTCTCGAACCTATTCCATAAATCAAACATGCCATAAAAGTAAGATAAAAGATTTATAACTCTTTTTATTTTTAAATGAAAATGTATGTTTTTTAAAATAATTTATTTTTTTATAACGAGAGAAATCTACAATCTACTATTTCAAATAATAATAAATTATACTAAAAAGACTTTATGTGACAAATTTAATTTAAAAAATGTTGACAAGAATTTATTCTGAGAATCATACTTTCACTGATAGCTGAAAATCATCAACTTTGCAAAGAGATGACATGTTCGACGAAATTCATTGGAAATGTCAGCGCTGACAATTACAAAAGTCGCCGGCCACATGCAGGGTGGAAAAACTTAGAATTGTCATACCTTGTTCATACTGGAAAGTTCAGGAAAATTTATTGCCATTTTTTAATTGAAAATGAAACCCACATGTAATTCATAATTCAATGAAACCCGTTGGCTATTAATAATACAATCAAAAGTCAGAAAATAAAAGTGTATAAACTATATTAACAAATTTTAGATAGTTGGAACAGACTTTTTTTTATATTATAAATAAAAATCAAATGTTAATTATGAGTCTGAGGGTTTGATTTAGGCAAATTTTGATTAGACTTACGTCCTCATAGTAGCAATTAAGGTTTTGCATTTTACATATATACTATAACATTTTTTCTTTCTGTTGGTTATTAGTTTAGGAGTCGAGTTCCATATTTTATTATTGACACGTACAATAACATTAATTGTTATGTAATTATATAGAAATAAAGTTGTGTTTTTGTTACTAATTAAATTTATATGTAAGAAGGTGGTCTATGGAGGTAAATTTTTTTTTTTAATTTTTTTTTTTTAAAGACAGAAAGAAAGAAAGGGTTGAAGATCAATAAATTAGATCCTTCATTTCGAATCCGGTTATAAATAACTCGAATGATTTAAATAATAAGTTTCTTAAATTTAAATTTAATATGTGAATCAAGTTGACATAAGGCTGACGAAATGATTGGCGAACTTCTTACACTTTCTTTGGTTTTTCCGTTTAATTTTATTATTATTATTGTTATTGACGTTATTGTTTTTATATGGATGAAAATAATCAAATTTATTTATAATTAACATGACCCTACCAATAAAATGTAAAAAAAAAAAATCATATATATAAGTAGTGGGATCAATTTTAAAATAGAGAAATAATATTATGTGCTAATTTTTATGAAGTAAAATTTTATTTTTGGACTAGAGAAGAGAGAAGCATTCCCTCTCGAGAATATCAATTCGATCTGTTGTACTAAAAAGACTTTATGAGGTTGTTTGTTAGTCGTAAAAGTTCAAAATTTTCTTTAAAATTTTATAACAATTTAAAAGGTGTAAAATTTTTCAATAGTCTGTCATGTACTATACGTTGACTTAATAAAGTTCCAGTTAACTAAAAATTGATTCAATTCCTTGAAATCAAGAAAAATAAATTTAGTCCAAGACTAGGCTGAGGATGTGATTCTATTTCTCAAGTAGCTAACGATAGGATATATGTGAATTACCTAATGTACGAAAAGAAAGATACGGAGTAATATATATTTTAAATTGTCAAAACACCTTGTGCTCAGATAACATGACCTATCCCATGTGGGAGGTCATGAGATCGAGTCTTAGTGGAGACGTTATTGACTCTTTGTACTTCATTAGGTTGATAAAGTATATTTGAACAGATACTACAATGTAATAGAGTTAGTAGCATTTAAAAAATATAATGCTCCCAAGATTACAAATATGTACATGTGTGAAAGGTATATTAGAATTTTTTTAAAAAATTATTAGAAAAGTTTAAACAAATAAAATGTTTCCATAACTTTCTAATAAAGTTAAGCTTAAACATGTTTATTAAATTTTTTTTTTTTTTTTCATTACTCTATGAGTCTGCTGCTACATACCTTAAGGTATGAATAGGGTGGACTTGTCCATACTCTCCATTGGACTTAGTTTATAACCTTAAGTCCTTAACCTTTCCATTTAGAAGTTCAACATGCCATTAATGTATTCTTTTATTGGATTGGAACAAATCATATTATTACCATTTTTCTTGTACGTACGTGCCCAATGCATGTGTAGCTTAATTAACCATATATATATATATATATATATATATATATATATATATATATATATATTACGGTTCACGTGTTGCTAGCAACTGAACACATCCTTCAATTATGTTATTAGCTAGCAAATAAAGTTTATTATTTAGAAAGTACATAAAAAATTATGTTGAGTACAAAAAATAAAACTTCAAAAATTACAAAATCTAAGAAAACATTAAAATTACAAAGTACTAGATAACATTAAAATAAGGAAATAATTAGAGACAAATTATTATTATTATTATTATTATTGTTGTTGTTGTTGTTGTTGTTGTTGTTGTTTTTGTTATTAGAGTCACACTTGTGTGAGATCGTCTCATGATTCTTTATTTGTAAAATGAGTCGGGTCGAGTCAATATGTAAATGTAATACCTATACTAACAAATGTAATACTAAATTAGGAATAAAATGTTTGTTACTTATAAAGAAAAATATAATACTTTTGAGAATAAATGTAATACTTTTATATTTTGATTTAAAAGTATTATTTTTTTTCTTTCAAAAGCATTATATTTTCTTTTTATTAATTTTGCATTTATAAAGGAATATGTAAATTCTTTTGATATAGTATATATATAATTAATGTAGACGCGCTTCCTCTGCTGCTTTAATGTGTGGACGAAGAAGGCTGATATTTTTCGAGAAAATCACTGGAAAATGCACGTAAAAAGTTCGTTAAAATAATATAATGCCATGCATCATATATGATCTTATCATTATAAATTAGAAAATGACAAAAATTAAGATAAAAATTCAATTTTTAATGATCACGATGCGATACAACTCATAATATTACACGTCGTACCGGCAAAGAAAAGACAGAGAAAGATCGTACGTCGCACTTTTGCCGTTATAAAACCACAGTCTCGATCTACCGCCATTTCTGCACTGCTCTCATTTTCTTCTTCATCTTCTTCTTGAATTCCTTGCAATAATTACTCCCACGCTTCAACAAAATGCCCATAACTACGACTAGTATCGTCGTTATCATCATGCTACAACTATCCTTACTTATCGCCGCCGCATATTCCCGCGCTCCGCATGCTTCTGTTGGTTCCACAGACGGCGGCGGCTTCCCTGCGGCTGATCGCCGCCGTACTTTGGCCGGTAAGTACGCTTCATCTGCTTCTACTACTCCGGCGGATCATAAATGAAGAAATATTGATGAAATGAAATATAATTACTTGGCTCGCTGTCATTTAATTGTTTTTTTTTGGTATTACGTTAGTTGATGTGTTTTGTTAATTAATATAATTAATCTGTGATGTGGTTGGAGGTGGTAAAGACATGGAGAAGCCGATATTATGGAGGAGGAAGATGATAGCAACCAGCCCACATAAATCTCCTTCCGCGCCGCATAACTTCCCTAATCAACGGTAAGCCTCCGATCCATTTCCGGTTAGAATCCTTCAGCTCCGCCGTGTCTTTCGCCGGACACAGTTCGGAGCACCCAGTGGATCGGACTTATATATCCATGCATGCATGCCAAATTACATACACAGACAATAGAAACAAGTTGATTAGGCTGTTGACTTATGAACACCATAAAGTTACAATTTTATTTAACACTTAACAAGAGCTGTTTATTAACTTTCATGATTTGAGTCAATCTAGACTGATCCTCTAGAATCACAAGGTCTGATTAATTATGTCGTGCAGTTCTGCCTTGTGACTGCGAGTTTCTCTAGTCATCTAAATCATATTACATACACTAAATTGGTGCATGCAGTGGATCGTCGTTGAATGGCAGGAGGCTCTCAGACACTTCATCGGAACCCCAAGACCGACAACCACCGTCTCCGGCGACAAAGAACAGCGGCATGGGCGGTGCAGGTGATGATGACGGAATGACCAAAATGAAAGAGGAAAATATGAGCAGTTGTGGAGGAAAGCATGAGCATGGTGAATATGGAGTGGTTGCCAGAAGATGTCGCCGTTGGAGGAGGTTGATCGCCGCCGGTGGAAGCGATTCTCCACCGTCTCCCGGCTACCATCGCCATTAAGTTATGATTACTATTATTATTATGTGTTACTTAGCATGAGCTACATCATTATTGTATGTGTTTAAGTTTAAATTTATTTTACGTTTATCATTATCACAGGGCACATCATATATATGGCACGTACTACTGGGACTCGGCTAGCTAGCTAGTGCGAGTTGTGTAAATATTTGTAATACTGTACAACATACATCAGTGTATTTAATTTGTTGTATACTAGTGCTGGAAATTTGCATTATTCCATTGGGAAATTTACCCATACTATGAGAATATTCCGTCAGTAAATTTACGTACACTCGTATTTTCATTCGTAAAATTTCAGAATGGTTCATTGCAAATAAATTGTTAGACATGGTATTTAGGTAAAAGTTCGTTGTTAAAATGCTGTTTTTTGTACATGAGAATGATAATCAAATACTTGGTAATGGTAATGAGTTTTGGTGAAAGTATTCTGCATGTTTGGTAATATGGTGGAATTAGATGATTAATAATATTGATGTTTCATTATGTATGAATCTATAATGGGAATAAATGTTTTAAAAATACAAAAATAAAAAAATCAAGACAATTAATCATAATATAATGACATCCAAAGCACCAATTTGAGCAAAATATAAAATCAAAATTTGAGGGATGTAGTGAGGAAGCAATAGACCGAGAAATGACAAGTGAGGAGGGATAAGATGAAATGATACATGATTTTAATTAGAGAACGGAGTTTTTAATTGAAGACGTAATCAAATTCCATAGTTGTGTTTTAAAAAGTTGTCAACCAAATAATAATGATTTTGATTCATATTCTTGGTGTGTAAATCCGTGAACCAAACACACCATCAATATTACATCATAATTATAATCATTCCCTTTGAAGTTGGTCGGCCCATTGACTCATGGTGTGAGCGGTCTTCTTGGTTTGACTCAGTCCATTATAGTCAACCCATGTTAGTTTACTTCCTTGTGGTCGTTAGTTATGGGCAACCTAAGCTGGTCTCTTTGTGGTCCTTTGTTCTTGGTCCAAATTCATTATTGGTCTGCTTACTCTTTAGACCAAGTAGGCCTAGTCCAATTAAATTTTGAATTGGGTCAGCCTAGTCTAAAACTACAAAACTGAGGTCCGGCCCAATCTATAGCCTGAATTTTTTTATTTTTTATTTTAAATACAAAAATGTTTTAAAATATATTTCAATATATAAATTATTATCCATGTAAGTACATATTTTTATTACAATTTATAATTTACAAATTATTATTTTGAAACATTACAATTTACAAGTACATTTAAAAATAATAAGCAATCTTTAAAAAATTAATTAATTAATTAATTATTATTAACTTAAAAATTATTTATTGAGATTTTTTTTTCGAATGCTACTGGCTCTATTACATTGTAGTATCTGTATTTATTGAGATATTTTTGTTATAATTTATAACTCTCTCTCCCTCTCTCTCTCTCTCTCTCTCTCTCTCTATATATATATATATATATATATATATATATATATATATATATATATATATATATATATGTATGTATAATCATAATAAAAAAAAATACAAGAAATAGTTTAAAAAATTTAGTAATAATCAACACAAAGATTGACGTCTCAAAATTTTCCACAACAACAATAGTAAGATCTATACATTTGGGTATTTACATGTTTTTCTTCTTATTATTCTTCAAATTTCTTTGAGAAGTCTCAAGTGATCATTACTTATATACATATGCTTCATTAAGGAGAGTCATTCTTGCCGTAATAGGCATTATATTGGAGGATCGGAATCACTTAGCTTCCAAAAAAGGCGCACACATATATACCTGGCCTAACCACTAGCCCCCCCTCCCCCCGATCCTTGGGTGTCCCAACTAGTAGTATATAGGTCAAGCACTAACACTAAAATAAATATTATACAAAAATTGAATTCTAAATATTTTTTTTGTTGTCAAATTTAATTAACCAAATTAAGTATATAAAATGAGAAGATGAAAGTATAAAAAGTTCACAAAAATTTGTATAAGACCTTCTTATGTGAAATAAATATAAAATATATAAAACTTTTTAACACTATTGTAAAAATCGCGCCTAGGCGGCCGCCGGCCGCCGCAAGGAAGGCCGGAATCGGCCTCCTAGACCACCTAGCCGGCTGATTTTTTTTTATTTTTTATTTATTATTATTTTTTTTGTAACGTGTGAAAAGTTCGGAAAGGGGTAAATTTTGACTTGGTTGTCCGTTTTGGACAATTTTTTTTTTAATTCGCGTATTTTTTCAAATTTGGCCCTCTAATTTCTCCAAAAAATGCTTCTTTTGCTCTTAACTTTAATTTTTTTTTATGTATTTAGATGGTTTCAACAATATTTTGAACGATTTTACAACCACTTATGTAAATAATTTGTAAGAAAAAACTAGAGGAACCTTATGTTTTATTAGTGAATTTCATAATTTTTAATTTTATTTTTTTTTAAAATAAAAAATAAAAAAATCGGCGCCTAACGTTTTTTGCAACACTGCTTTTTAATTTTTTATGAGTCAACAAATTTATTGAAATTTTTTCAAAATGGACTAACTCGTATATTGGCTAGCCTGTGACGAGCCGACCAGTAAGAAAATATGTTAGCTCGGTTTGATAGCTCTATAATGAATCTCCTTTTTGAAGTTCCTTAATATGATTTTTCACCATTGAATTTACTTTGGTAACGTTCATTATTTTTTCTGAAAAGTAAATATATCTAATTATACACTTCTAATCTCTTTCTACTAATTCTCGAATGACACACAATTTGGTGGGGTGGTCAAACACCATATATTTTATATGGCATTGTTGGAGAATAACGGAAAGTAACTGGCCGGAATATATCTTAACATTCACAACTGCAAATTGAAGTCGATAGTTGCATCGTAGGGCGGAAAAGAAGTAGAAGAGAAATCATATGAATCAATTATTTTGAATGTGATATGTGATGTTAAGAATAAATCACAATGTAGTACCCGGACTATGTGGTCTAATGATACCTGGGTTGACTTCCATTTGGAAGGATGTAAGTTCGAGTCTCAATGGAAGTGTTATTAGCTCTTTATGTTTTAGTAATAGAGCTAGTAGCATTTTTTTTTTTAAAAAAAAAGAGTAAATCACAAAATTGATTTCGAGCGTGCACTTATTATTTTTGTTAAATAATTATAAAAAAATTATTTTATTTTGAATGTGACATGTCATATTAAGAGTAAATCACAACCTTGTTTTATATCTATAAATAATACTAATCGCAAAATTTTTTACTTTTTTTTTTTTTTTTTTGAAACCCAAAATTTTTTAATGTTAATTGTTAAATGATTTAGTTGCATTTTTTTGTTCAATGATCTAATTTTACAAACTATAAAAATTCGATGGCGTTTCGCACAAGGAATTGTTTGATTTGGAGTTTGTTGTCTTCCTGCACTTTCGGTGCTTTTGGAGTTTCCTTTTCTGTAGTTGTCGACAAATAACCACCGTCTAAATCAACAATCATCAACTTAAATTCTACTTTCTATTCCTTTTAATTGAAGACCAAGAAAGGACACATTTTTGGATAGATGGTTTAGCTTGGTAATTAAGTACAATATTCCAAGTTCTACTCTATTGATTTTCTTGGGTTGAGTCAATAAAGTATAGGTAATTTAGATTAGATTTATTTTTTTGTGATCCTTTGTCGACTAAGATTACAATGCAATCTTCATCAAAAGCGCACCTACATACTAAATAAGGATTGTCATATCAAAATGTATTTAGATTTCACAACATATAACCGATACATAGAAGATGACTTTATATATATTCTTCCTTTTAGGCTAGATGTTTCGTCAATCTAAAAGTAAGAAAATAGAAATTGATAGAGTATCGATGAGATAACGTGAGTGTCTTTCAATTTAATAAGAAGGAAGTAGGCTAAATAGTAGAAGTGAAATATGATATGATTAATGAAACCTTAAAGCTTTTCTAAACATGGTAATGTGGGTAGATTTTGGTACAAATTAAAAGATGTGAGTTCCGTGCAGCAATAGGTATAGGGAATGGGGTGGTGCAGACCAGAATTCTCCCATGTCTTCCAACAAATGGGACACACATAACACATTCCATTCTTCCTGTAGTGTGTGCATGAACCATCTTATTAAAGTACACCACCACACAATCACACATGGATGCATGTCTTCCAATCATTTTTTTTTTTGGGACCTAGAAACAAACTATGAGCTGCCCTTTTAGGGTGCCATAATTTTCTATCATTCTCGAGAATGTTTTTAATATTTACCGGAGAAACTTGAAACTCGATCCAGTTATAATTTTTACGGGGAGCAACATTAGCCAACCAGTTCGCTACTTCATTGGATTAACACCATTCCTTTAATTTGCTTTTATTCTATATTCCAAATGGTGGAGATATATAGTTTGACTATTTTTTTTGGTCCTAGCTTGACCGTTAGATATACAATAATAAATTTATAGTACACCTACCATGTTAGATTAGATTTTAAATCAGACGAAGCATGCATTCAATTTTGGTATCAGGGTTTACCATGGTTTCACGTACTAGGCGCTAAGCCCTAGTCAGGAGCCCGGGCCTAGGCGGACGTAAAAAAAAATAGTGGCAGATTTACAGTTTGATAATTTTAATGAGGTTTTTTTTTTTTTTTTTTTTTTTTTTTTTTTTTTTTTTTTAACATTTAATCAAATAACACATCCAAATAAATGAAATAATGATAATTCATAAGTCATAATAACATCAAAACAATTAAAAAAAAATAATACTCAAATATGAATTAATCAAATACTTCAATCATCTAAACATTCAAATATCAAACTAGTCTACAGACGGCTGGACCAGACGACATGAGACGAAATTGGTCAAAATCGGACGAAATTCACCTACTTGGTCGATTATTTCGCCGTCTAGGCGGCCGATTTTTGAGCGCCTAACAGTGAAAGCGAAACAGCCTAGGGGCGCCTAGCGCTCAGACACCGCCTAGACCGATTTTTACAACATTGAGGTCGACATAGTGACATACTACTCTATTGTATGCATGCATGTCTCATGTCTATATCTCCGGTATGTACAGCTTGATATATTTATAATTTTTTCCCTTAAATATACATAAATATTAATTATTTACTACTTTCATAGAAGTAATACACTAATGCAATATAACTTCTTAATTAGTTAATTATTAAAAGGGTAATCATTGTTTTTACCTTAAGGTGGTGTTTGGTATGGTGAAATTGTAATTCAATTCATACCAATTTTTACGGAATTTATATTTTCTGGTTTGGTTAGAGGGACGGAATTGTAATTTCAACAATGAATTACTATTTTGCTCCTCGTGTTGTTGTTGTGTTATTATTATTATTTATTATTATTATTATTAATAGATATTAGTCTTTATTCGCTTTTTTTTTTTAAAAAAATCCTAATCATTCTATTTCTGTTTAATTACTAAAAAAATTTAAATTCTCACTTTATTTTTCTCACAAAATTACAATTTATTTTTTCTTTAATTTTCTCATTCCAATCAAATGCACGGTAAAGATTTGGTGGAGATAATGAATAATAAAATGTTACTTAACTGGTTCACATTACCTTATCTATTTGTGGTACTTTAGCGGTTGTCGGCGCTGTACCCACCTGGCCAGCCGTGCTTTTTGACGGAACTCCTTGTGTGGGATTTTGCAGTTGCAAATTCTGTGTTGCCAATGGCTGCATGGTCGATATTAATTTAAGAAAAGAATGTATTAGGAAAATCTAGTTAATTAATTGATAAGTAAAGTTATAATTTTTTTTTTTTTTTTTTTGTAAAATTAGTTTATTATTCATTTGATTATGAGTAATTTGGATTGATTTATCTGGTTTAATTTGATCTATTTATAGTCTTTTATTGATAGTCACAAGACAAGTTAGTGCATACCTTTAACTAGCGCGTTACGTGTCTTTTCCAAAAAGTTATTTCATATATATATATCGTGAATAATAATACCAAGTTATCTAATTAAAAAGGTAATTGAACTAGCTGTGTGTGAATGATGCATGTTTAATTTTGCCCACGAACCCCAACCGTTGGTTTTATTATTCCGATTCTTTTTATTCCTTCAATTCTATATATATAGGTATATACCTACCTATCTCTGCACTCCAATCCATAAATTTAGATCAATTTCCGGCTAATATAACTCCTTCTTAGCTTGCCAAATTTAGTAAATAATGTTCATATCGCCTGCTTGTAGTCGCATCTTCTGCAGTATAATCATCATCGTTCTTGGACTACTCTTCTTACTTTCACATCATCATCATCATCACGCTTCTGTTGGTTTCTTTGGAGTCTACCCAGCAGATGATCACCACCATGCTTCTGGTAAGTATATATAGATATGTTCGCATCTATGCATGCATGTCTGCATATAATACAAACAGCTTCTTGAGAAAATTCTGTTTTTGCATATAATACAAACAGCTTGAGAAAATTCTGGTTTAGAAAGATCTAAGAGAAATATAAATATATGAAACTTGGTTGTCATCATTTTCATAGTATTTTGTTGATGGGGATGTATCCCTTTTCCAATGGGACAAAATATTATTCTTACAAGTCTTCTATCTCCAATTTTTATAATTTAATTTTTCATTTACCCATTATCATTTTTTTACTGACAAATAAATTCGTCATTATTCAAACTAGTAGTTGCACCCGTGCGATGCACGAACATATGATATAGTAGTAAAATTAACCGTAATAATAAAATAAAGACTATAATAGTATATGAATTATTTAATGAAAAGCGAATAAAATTACAATTGTATTACACATTGTTGAAAATTTCTTTGTATACAACATTTTTAGTCGTACTTACAGATGGTACATTATCTCCACATATCAAATTTTTTTACCCCCGATGATTACTAACTCTTGACCATGATTAAAGACCGGCTTTCTAAAAAACAACCCCACGTGTGAAATATAATATTTGCCTTTAGACTTTTATTTATTGTCATATATGGCATATGATAACATCAAGGGAGTTGCTGTCTTTGGAACTTGAAAGACAATCTTGAATCAGAAGGTGTTAACGACATTCGATGAATTAAAACCTTTGTTTCTATGTTCGTTCCACGCATGATTTGAGCTTCCAAAACATGATAAGCCAATCAGATAGCATGTCTCCAGTTGAATCAGATTTACAGACCGAATCACAACTCATATACGTCCTACCCTTAACCGTATTCATGTCATTCATGAATGAAGAATTCTCCAAATTTTCTGCATTGATTATGAACATAAGATGTTTATTTAAGTATACAATGTTAGAAGAATATGACATTAATATAATGTACACCTTATAGCACAATTAATAATCTATCATTATAATAAAGCTGTAACTTTCTACCAAAAAAAATTTCCCGCCTATGCTATACTGCGTCGTTTTATGTACTCAGGTTTAGACTAAAAGTTAATGATGTATTAGTTGTCTGAATTAATGCCTTGAAAACTACCGATCAATAAATATGAAAACAGCACATTATTCGAATTGCCTTGGAAAGCGAATTGGCTGCATGTTTAAATTACAAATTTGAACTGATACCATCTAATTGAACACATGCAACAAACTTAATTATTATTTCTCATTGTTCCAACTTCCAAGGCAGGACTCTTCGTTTTTCTCTAAGAGTCCAAATTCAATTCTACCTCTACCTCTATATAAAGAGGTCGAATGAGATACGGAAGTACACCCTGAGATTCTTGAGAATTGTTTAATAATAATGTACTTCATAATCTTATATTATGAACTATATAATAAAATCATATAATAATAATTATATAATAATTAATCAATAACCATATATATAAATGTATAGAATTCAATTCTGCTAGCCCAAAAATACCATTAAAAATATAAAAGAAAAGTGACCCAATTCAAAACCCAAACAACTACGGCCTAAACCCAGCCCAAAAAGAAATACTAAAATAAGTCTACAGCAATCACTTCTACGCAGCCCCCGACCCTTCGTCTTCTCTCTTCCGTTGTCACTATCTCTCAAGAACTGTCGGAATCTTAGTGTTCTACCCTTATGTCAAAGTGTCTAATTTCCGTTTTGATGAACTGCTACCTGAAATCTAGGTTTTTTACACAGATTTCTCACTTTCTCTGCAGCTAAACGCCCGTTCTTAAGGTCTCTAGAGTTCTCACTTTTTCTCTAGCCTGAGCGAATCGCAGTGTGATAGTCTAATCTCCGTTTTCTAGAGCGAATCGCTGTGCTCTACACCGGTACATGAAATCCGGGGTTTTGTACACCAGATTGCCGTTCTAAACACGAGCTGTTGTCTACAATCCTCGGTGGCAAGTATCAATTGACGTCAACTGTTCTTTTCGTGTGCTTTAAAACAACAGATTTGAAAGTCCAAGTCAGTTTACCTCGTTTAAAGCTTTGACGATGATGTTAATGTTGACATTTGGCTCTTCCGACGCTCAAGCTAAGTAACCTATTACTTATCTAATTTCCTACCTTTTTATCCTAAATTTAATATGTATTTGTACACCTATTTACGATTTAGTGTAGGATTGCAGATTATTTCATGGAATGATGCCTCCTTTTGATTAAGGTTTTCACATAACGATGCAAATTAGGTTTTTGTAGTCAATAGTTAACATGCAACATAGAAAATTAAAGAATAACTAATTATTTGTAATTCTAAAAAAAAAACTAATTATTTGTAAATATAATGTGATCAGAGCTAATCTATTATTTCAATTTCGCAGGACAGAGGCGAAGTTGTGCGATGTATATCCGCACTGGAATTCTAAGATCATCAATACATGGAAAAATGCAAATATTGATTAAATAGAAGATGATCTTGCTGGTAACATTTTTAATTGAAAAGTTCTATGTGTGGAATACCTTTGTTGCTGCTGTTCTGCTTCCTCTTAGTCCCAATAGTCACGTTGCCAACTATTTGCGTCATAGTTTTCTTTTCACTATGATTTTCTCTTGTGTAATTCCTGGGCAGTTATATTTCAGTGTTATATATGTCATTGCCTTTTTAGTTGTGCTGGCAGAAGTAATGGTCAGTACAGTGTGCCAAATTTTGTTGATTGTATATAGTATGACTATTCATTTTTTCCTTGATAATGACAATGTGTACTACTTTTCTCCACATTAAATATTCTAATTATGTGGGGCAACTTTTTAAATAAACATTGATGAGAGAATCTAACACTGTTTTTCCAGATTCATGGCATATGATGAAAATGTCATTCTGATGCCCCAACAATTTGTTTTAACATAGACTTTAATGTGTTTTTTCTGTTAATCATTTCATTGTGAATAGTTTGTCATCACAATTGTTGGCATATGATGGAAAGTGCATTCTGATGCACCAAGCCACTTCACTTTCATTCGCAAGCATATGATGAAACTATAATTCTGATGCTAGTCCTTTTTTTTTTTTTTTTTTTTTACAAACTTGAAATCATGTATCAAATGATCTTTTTATGTTAGAGTTAATCTGCTTACTTTTCAACACCCCATTATTCTCTTACTCTCTATCTCTTTTTTTTGTTTTTGTTTTTGTTTTTTTTTTTGTGTTCAGGCTGAATGCATTTTTTTTTCTTTCTGACAAACATTTTTTTTTTACTTAGTTTCAAAGAATGATACTTGAAATCATGTATCAATATTTTTTTAAAAAAATAAAGTTAAACTGCTTAGTATTCAACACCCCAATATTCTCTTTTTTTTTTGGCTGAAATCAATTTTTTTTTTCTTTTTACAAACCTTTTTTTTTTAACTTAGTTTCAAAGAATGATAATTGAAATTATGTATCAACTATTTTTTTGTTTAATAGAGTTAATCTACTTAGTTTTCAAATGATTGTTGTTCTTTTTATATTTGTTCTGGTGGAAACAATTTTTTTTCTTTTTGACAAAACAATTTTTTTTCACTGCATTTCATTTGTTAGTTTGGCTAAGCCTTAACTGACTGCTTAGTTTTTTTTTTTTTTGTTTTTTTTAATGTTGACTTATTTCATGTTTTTTGAATACCTATAATGTAAAGGGTATTTTTTTTGTTGGGATTGTTGATTTATGACATTGATACACTTGAAAATAAATATATAGGTTTGTTCTGCTAAATATAAGTGGTGTGAATACAATATTTTAACATTAAATTAAATTAGCTTAAAAAAATACAATGTGATAGAGTGCATGGACTGCCTTGCTTTATAGTAGATTCTTCAGGACTTCATACTTGTAGCAAATCTATATAGCACATCCTGCAAAATTTTAAAGTGACAAAAACAATAGGCTAATCCTAAAGAATTTTTGTTAGATGAAGAGAACAGGTCCAGAATAGAACTGTGTCACTGGACTATTGATTTCATCACCCTTAGACCCTTCATGACAAAAAAAAATGATGTCAATACAGTTTCTAAGTGTTTAAAAACAGGATGTCAATTAACAAACATAGGTTTAATTAAAGGTTATAGTAGCATTAAGACCTTATCAGAGTCTTCAGTTCCTTCATCATCTTCTTCAATCGTCCTAAATATCAGGTCCTTTTCTTGGTTATCATTGAGGTTGCAACCGTAGGCAAAAATTAAAGCTTCATCCCTTAGTACTCTCGTGACATTATAAGCTGATTAGGGCCACACATTCGATCTTTTTTTTTAATTGAAACTTTAAAAATCAATGACATCCCATTTAGGGCCTCCAATTCTGGAGAAATGTGAACGTCAACCTATATAAAATGATGACACATTAAATAAAAAACAGAAAAATAAGAACTGCAGATGTAATGTGTACTACTGGTTAATTCCATTGGAGCTTACCTGTTGATACTTATCAAATAGTAAGCCTGCTGGAACACCTACCAATTCAGCACACTCCCTATCACATAGTAGAAAGGGAGATTTCCTGTTTTATCCACCACTCTAACAGAAAACTTATACCTTATTGCTCCTTTCTGCCACTTTTTTTCACCCTTACTACAATCTGATCATTTACAATCCCCATCCTGTAAATGATCAGATTACAATAATTGTTTATATAAAGTGAACAATGATTCACATGGTTTGTTAGTCTTAACAGATTATTTATAACTCACCTCTTGATGCATAAACATATCAGAGATGGTACTGACAACAACATCACCACTTCTAAAATCCCCAAGGCCAGTAGACTGTGACAGAACTGTTGTAGTAGTGACCACCAGGAAGTTCTTGACATTGTACACCTTGCCTTCTTAAAAAATATTGTGATATTTCTCCACTTCTTCCTTTAAAATATTGGCACGTATATAGGTTCCCTAAGAATTAGAAAAGTAAGATTATAAAACAGAGAATATTCAAAAAGCAAAAACAGAGAATATATAGTATATAGATTATAAAAATGCTCTTCGTATGATAAAACATCAAGTATTTTTGTGTCTAAGTTGTTTTTTTAGACAAATTTCCAATGAAGTACTGTTTGTATATAAAATTTTTTTAATTGAAAAGTAACTACTCCAGTAAATAATTAATTTACATACTACCTAATGCTGAATTATAACTACATACACTGTCACTGAATCCAGCCTTAGATGTAATTACAAATAGTATACTCCAACATCCTTTTCTTAGCCTTAGGTAGTAAGGAATGTTGATATCACCATCTTTATTTTCCTAAACATAAAACAATAGATTAGTATACTATACAGAGGAATAATTAACCGTCAATAATAATAACTTAATGTGTTCTTACACAAGCAACTCAGAACTCCTCTTGCCTAATAGATGCACATAATTAATCCTGCAAAAAGTATCAAAAAAGACAAAAGTACAAAAAAAGAAGTTGTAGTTCTTTAACATTATATAGACTATAGAAGTTGCAGTTCAAAGAGTTCAAAATCATATCTATCACCAAAATAATGGTGCTATAAGTAGCAACAATTCTTCCCTTGAGATATTTGCATAGATATAGGTTCCCTAGACATTAGATGAAATAAAACACTTCTTGTAATTCTTGTAATCATAAAATAGATAGTATACAATTGGAAAACTGATTTCAATAGCATTAAAAAAATAACATCAAACTGGAAAATTGATTTTACCTATTGAGCATGAAATAAACATTCTTTACTTTCATCATTTGGCCTCCTCGCCTCCTCTGACTTCTTCTGGTACTTCATATGTTCGAACACATCTAACCCATGTTGTTTTGGTGCAGAGTATTATGTTTTCTCAAGAATCTCAGGGTGTACTTCCGTATCTCATTCGACCTCTTTATATAGAGGTAGAGGTAGAATTGAATTTGGACTCTTAGAGAAAAACGAAGAGTCCTGCCTTGGAAGTTGGAACAATGAGAAATAATAATTAAGTTTGTTGCATGTGTTCAATTAGATGGTATCAGTTCAAATTTGTAATTTAAACATGCAGCCAATTCGCTTTCCAAGGCAATTCGAATAATGTGCTGTTTTCATATTTATTGATCGGTAGTTTTCAAGGCATTAATTCAGACAACTAATACATCATTAACTTTTAGTCTAAACCTGAGTACATAAAACGACGCAGTATAGCATAGGCGGGAAATTTTTTTTGGTAGAAAGTTACAGCTTTATTATAATGATAGATATGTGCACAGATAAATTTCATCTTGTGACCCTAGCCAGTAAAGAAACACAATGAGATAACCAACCTAGGTTGTTTATACCGATTGACTCAAACCAAGAAGACTAATAAACTGCTTCCATTGGAAGTTGATGAACTTGAAACCTTGTGGTTACCAAACTAACCCGACCAACTTGGATGGGTTGTCTCCACCCACGTCACTATCCATTTTGAAAATACTATATAATATATTGATTTCTTAACCTTATATATTTAGGAGAACACAAATCTACTTTGACCTGATTTAAATAGGAGGTGGACACTACATATATTTGCACCACGAGATAGTCACTAAAAATATCAATTTTGCTAATATTTTTTAACAATGGCAGTTGTGGTTGGTGATCATATATTAAGGAGGAAGATGATTGCAACCAGCCTACATGTTTCTCCAGCCTTTCCCCGGAACTTACGGTACGGAAATCCTAATTCCCTATGAATCTCTAATCTCTAAATTTTACTAAGAGTTAATAATGTTTGTCCTTATTCGGAATTAAAATTGTGTAGGTAGTATAACTGTATAAGTTATATAAAATGTTTAATATTCTTTCTGTTACTTATTTGTATTGTTTCTTTATAAGTCATATATATATATATATATATATATATATATATATATATATATATATATTGTTGTGAATGCATGCGTGAATTGAAGATTGGAGTTAACAATTTGGTTAACGCATGCGGCATAAAATCACGTGCATATGCTTTGATGAATTGCAGGAAGCTCTTACGCACTTCACCAGATAAGAGCACGGAGACCGACGGCGACCACCTTCTCCGGGGACAAAGAACTGCAGCTTGGAGTAGTGATGATGCAACAAAAAAGAAGCTAGTAGGCCGGGAATTTGGGGTGGTGGTGGCCTGAAAGTTATAACGATATAATGATGATGAATATGTAGTGGTTGAGACTTGAGAGTAGACGATCCCGGCGAAGGCTGATTGCGGCCAGTCCTTGTGATTCTGAACCCGCTCCAGGTTACCGTCGTTAAGCTCCATGTCTCCATCTACCTTAGCCCGTCTGAGCCAGCTGATCGAGATCATGTGCTTTAATTAATTTTATTATGTTCAAAGTATATACTTAATTATTGGTATTGTTTATATTTAGTTTGAAATTAAATATATCATTCTGTTTAAACTGAAATTTCATACATATGGGGCGTTACTATAGTCCTCCCAATGATAAAATAGAAATAACAATGTTACCAATAGAAATCGAACCTTGGTATGCCAGGGGCCAACAGGAGGGAAAAGATCGACCACACCCCAACTTAATCAGAAAAGTCTCTATATTTCTTAAGGTGTGTCTTAACCAGACCAATCACACCCCCCCCCCCTCCCATCCCCCTCCTTTTACTGCCACACACCTCCCAAATAACGTCCACGTGTACGACATCTGCATCCCCCAATCCTCTACCAACCACGTGTTCCATGTCGCACCAGACACCCCTGGTCACGCCCAAGCATCACCTCACACGACCTTGCATGGCCACTGCCACCACGGCCTGTGAGCAAGACACGACCGGGCACCCGTGGGCGCCGTGTAAGCGCCGATCAACGACACCCAACGCACGCCACCACGCCCACCAGCCACTGCCAGCGAGTGAAGTAGCTGTGACCCCACCTCAGCATGGGTGCTGGCACACCAGCACGCCACCCGGACGCATCGGGGCGCACTCGATCGACGACCCTAGGGCGCTTCAGCCACCCGAGGTCAGCGACCAGTGATGACCCCACCATGGGCCTGTGATCATCCTTCCTAGACTCCCCCCTCAAGCGATCGAATACCAAGTGGGACCAAGCCACAATCCAATATATATCCCCATCATATGGTATGCAATATGGTTTGGTTACTTTGGTACTTGTGAATTTATGATTACCAACATGATTAACCAGAATTTTATTTTACAAAAGAGAAAATTACCCAGAATGACATTTTTCCCATAAATTATATGCTTATAACCTTTTTAATTTGTTCTTGAATTATTCATATATCCAGACTAACTCATTCAATTATTTTAAAACTGACATTTATTTTTACCCATTACACATAAAACAAAAACTATTATATTTATATCATATATTATAAATGCGTATAAGGGGGGTGCAAACACTAGTATAGGTACTACATACTGATACAAAAGCAACATATATGCGTACCTTAGCTAACTACCTACACATTATTTCTTTGGCTAAAGAGAAATAAATGTGCCCTATGGATCACAACGATCCTTATTATGCATACTCATATCATCCGTGCGATATGATGCACGTACAAACTATAACATATATTGAACGGAGTGTAACATATATTGCACCCTTTGATTAATTAAATAAAATTAGAAAGGAGGCAACGCCGGCTCCGATGCACCAATGAAGTTGACCGGCCGCGACTCCTCCGGTGCCGGTGCGACGATACCGGAGCTCACAATCTCCGCCATGGCGCGTCGAGCGTTAGACGACGACCCTACTTCTTCGCAGAGTTTGGGGAGATACACACCTTCGCCGGCGGCGAGATTGAAGTAGAGATCGATGATGTTAGGGCAGCGGTGGTAGCAGGGAGTTGAGCAAAGCATGTGCGTGAAGTGCGATTCCAGGAGAGCGTCGGAGGAGATTCCGAGGGAGTTCCGGTCGACGCCGCAGGCCTGGATGCACTCCTCCGTTTCAATCCAGTCCTTCACCAGCTTCTTGTCGGCCTCGATCTCCGACGTCCGGCACGTGTACGCTTCCTCGCCGCCCCTCCGCACGTGCTTCTCCAGCACGCAACGCTTCCCGCTTGATGATATTGCAAAACCGCACGATTCCTTGTCCAAATTCTCGCACGCAATGCTCCCTACAATATAATGCATCAGCACATTAATGGTTATACGCTTATGGGATGACACAGAGATTCGAACCCAAATTGAAGCATGTGCTCTATCTCAGCTAAAAGTCTAAGCTGATAGTTAGATTGCATATTAATGGTTATATGCTCAACAGATCAAATTCTAAATCGGTTACTCACCGGCGACGCCATGGAAGCACAATGAGAGGGCAAAACAAGCAACCACAGCCAAAGTAATCTTCAAGGTGGCGGCCATTTTAGAAGGCTGGGAATCAAATATTGGTGTGTAGTACAGTCGTTTTAGCAAGGCGGAGATAGATTCAGTGATGAGAAACGTAACCCTATTTATAAAGGAACGTATAGAAGAAGGGCCAAGTTGTGCTTGGCAACAACATCAAATTAATTATGTTGTACTGTAGTAAAAGACAGGCGGCTATAGCGAGGGCCATGATTGCGACACTTGGATTGACTTCCAGAAAAGAAGGCGAGAAAAACTGAACTCAATTAGCCGTTAATAACTGCACCATCAATGCCATTTTTGGCTACTATCTAGCCCCGGCCGCTCTATTTTCTTCAATTTATATTAAGACCATATCTTCTTTTTATAACCTAAGTTTTCCGGGCTATATCCTAGATGACAGTGAGGCTCATAAAAAATGAATCAAGTCAATTTAATTTCTAGATTTAACTAGCTTGCTGAAACTGGACACTTTACCTCAATCCAAATTTAAATCATCAATATAATGCACACTTTTGTACACAAAGAATTCAACACAAACACCAATTAAGCTCCCAATCTTAGTAGCCAGAATTGAGTCCCATGCACCCTGACGTGCCGTTAGAAACAAGCCTTTAGTGAGAGTTTTCATCCACCAGTGTTTTAGTGACAAATTCTTTTTTTTTTTTAAGAAAGGAATTAATATTAAATTACTTATTGAATTACAGACATAATTATAAGTAGTTATGTCATCCAACTGCGCGCAAAAAAAAAAAAATTGTAATTAACCCATCAAACAAAGTTAATTCTTTAATGAATTAAAAATGACCGGTTATACTAGTTAATTACTAGTCACTTTACGTATGCAATGTGGCTTTTTTTTTTTTTTTGTATTTTTTGTATTTTGTATTTAATAAATTCTTGATGTTTCCACCATTTTGTCCATGCATGCATGGTCCTTATTACATCAAATATATTAATTAATAATTAGAATAATTACATACTATTATTATTACTGATCGATCTGATCTTTAGTCATGATACCGAGCCAGTGTAGCTAACTCAAATCCTATATTACTAATCGATCTGATCTTCAATTCCCTTTCATGGAAGAAATTTGTATATATAGTAACTAAGATTTTTGGTGTGGAATGCATGGGGCCATGAACCCTATATTTTTGTTTAAAAATAAAAAAGAAAAGAATTTAGATCTTAATTAATTGGGTCTGCATGACACGTATACAAAAGAATTCCTGATTTCCTGGCGGATCTTTTCCCTCGTCGGTCATTTCGTCAAATGTTTGGCAGCTTAATTTTGTTTTTATTTTTTAATTTTTTAAAGTCGTATTAAGTCTTAGGGAAAAGGTAAATCTGAGGGCCCAAGTGTTAATGTCTTGAGACTATTTTTTTTCAATTTTTTTTATTTGAATGCAAATCGAACTTTATTCATAACCAGAGTTCAAAGCATTGACAATAAAATCAGGAAAAACTGTAAAAACAAAAAACAAAAAAAAAAACAAAAAAAAAAAAAACCACAATTTGGCAAAGAACCGATCTCCTTAACAATGAGATGAGCTTATTGTATAAGTATTTTAGGACTTATATGCAAGTTAAATCACATTCTGTGATATATTTTTAAAAGTGATGATATACCTTTTAAGTTTTACTAGTTTAGGGTTTTTTTGTATGCTACTAGTTTAGGGTTTAAACTTATGAAGATTGAAAACATGCGGAATGATGAAAAATCCAGATACTATTTGGCCGTCATTTACGGCGGCAGACTAAAGTGATGGCTGATTAGATCATAACTAACAATTAGTTAGCTAATTAAACACGTAAAACACATGCAATTCAATGATTTCATTGACGTACTTCACAAATGGACAAACGATCTTCCATTAATTCTTTAATTTCAATGAAAACCTAATTATCTAATTTCATTATATTATTCCTCAGACCTCCCTAACTTTTGGAAATTGGAACTCAGACCTCCCTAACTTTTGGAAATTGGAACCATATACAAGTACGCCTACATACACTGCCTGCTCCCATCTATGATACAACTCATTTATTGATGTGCTATATATAATTAAGATATTTTAATTAACATAAGTTTTCAACTGTTCATTATACAATACAATATTATTGCCTACATTTTTAGTGATTTTGTATACTATATATATATAAGCACGCATATGCACGATTGTGATTATATTAGTAACAGGCACGCGCCCATTGTGTAAGAGAATTAATTTGTAGTATACATTGTAAGCGTGGGAAACTATGCTTCACACACACACATACATATATACACTAACAATGTATTGCTTTTAATTGTAGAACTAATAAATAATTAATGTTTATATACTTAACGAAAAATATTTACAGATATATCATATATTTTTATATTTACACATTTGATGTAGAAAATGAGGAGTACAGATGATATGACGGTTTAATTCTTCATTTATGTCCTTTTTTTCTATTATTATTTTTTAAATACTTTATGCTATAAGAATTGTATTATACAATGAAGGGAAAGTTTGGAGGTAAAAATTTAGAAGGGAAAGGACTTGCTTCTTCCTTTTCGAGAGTATTGAGTTTTGTTTTGTGTCACTACGGGAAATTATGAAATTTTCGACCACTTGAAAGTGATCTTAAATCAAGTCGAAAGCCTTGTTCTGACCATATTTTATATTCGGAAAAACCATTGTTGCTATTTCCGACCACTTTATATTTTTGATATCAAATTGATTTAAGATCACTTTCAGGTGGTCGGAAATTCCATAATATCCAGTAGTGTGTACCGGTCAGTGAACCGAGTGATTCACGAGTTAGCTAAGGTTGTTCAATCTTTATGTGGTTTGATAGAATGACTTGTCTCTTCTCGATCCCACTTTTTTTGTATGAGTTTCTTTCAATGGATGTTTAATGTATGAAAAGTTTTTGATTTTAAAAAAAAAAAAACACACACACACACAAAATAATTCAAAACCTAAAGTATAGCAAACTTTAAGACATTATCAATATAAAAATTTATCTTTTCGCATATGACATCTGATATTTTCATTTATTTCCGTAAAGTTAAATCAGATTCAATTTGCGTTACATTCAATTTATTCCTCTAAAAATTGTGTGTGTAATATAGTCAACCATTCTAATTTAAAAGTCAGCTCTTTCTCATCCATGTAATTCAAGAAAAGAACATATTCTAACCATCAACGTAACACTGCACCCATTAATGCATGCAGCTAATTAATTAAAGAAGACTTACCATTCAAGGTCAATATGAATAATAACGCTAAGGGAAAGATATAAGTCCTGTTTGGTAAAATAGATAGTCGGCCTATATGTCAATTTTCACTTATTTGATCACTATTAGTTGTTTGACTTTGTTTAAAAATCAATATAAGTGTCTAGTTAATTAGCTTTTGTACTTCAAAATGCTAAAATTCAAAAAGCTACTCAAAACAACTTTTTCAATTAACTTTTTGAGAAAAAGAAATTATACCAAACAGCTAACTTACCAAACATTTTTCTACAATCAGTTAATGTTAGCACCTAGTTATACCATCTAGTTAACCCAATCATCTAACAGCTAACAACTATCAGCTAACAACCATTTACCAAACATGGCCATAGTCAACAAGGGAGAATTTGGTAAAAATCATACAATATAAAAAATCATACCCAATTACCCATCACTTAATCACCTCTTCCGGGACTTCGTATTATAATTATTATATATATAAAAAAAAAAAAAGTCTTTGAGTTTAAGATTATTTATAGCCCATTAAAATTTAAAAGTCAAACAATTCCCTTTTCCACCAAAAAAGGAAAAAAAAAAAAGAAAAAGAAAAAATAGAACCACATTGGATATAGTCGCTGGAATCTCAACTTTGAGAATTGCAGGGCAGAAAGGAAGGAGAAGTCCAGAAGAGGAATCGACTGGAAAAGATACAAGGCTGTTTGGGTGCTGCCGGCCTGTTTGGGTGCGGTGTGGCTGTTGGATGACAAAAAGAAAATTGTAAATTGCGTTAAACCTCAACTATAAAGTTAAAATTGTTATAAATATATCATTATGTGGACATTATTATAGATTATATAACAGTTGTAACGGTTCCTGTATTTATGCTTCTATTATATCTTTCGTTACGTTTGTATTCTATATATAGAGGTGTTGTGGTTGTATGATGACAGACAGATGAATCAATAAGAGATTCCCCTTATCTTCCATTTCTCTCTATTCTGTTTTCCTTTTAACAAAAATGAAATTATATATTCATTCTATTTTTTTTGAAAGGATATATTCATTCTATTATATATTTTATACTACAAAAATAATAGGATATTTTTCTGATCTGTATACAACACTGAGTGTATAATTTAACTTTTATTTAAAAGAAAGTTTGCTCAGGTCAAAACTTTTTAATATTAAATGACACGAATTTTGCGACAGAATATTGAGGAGCAACTTGCGGGCTTGTTTAGGATATGTTAGGTTTGACAATTAAGTTCGTTGTTAGTGCATAATTTTATCTGTTAATTTCAATTTTCACCAGTTGTTAGTGCATAATTTGGCAACTTAATTGTCGGCTTTATATAATGATGGTAGTAAAGCTCATTTGTTGGGAGAAGAATAAACCTCATTTCTTAACAAAGATCCTCGTATAGCTTTTATTTTTCTTCTAGAGTGTTGAAATCTTCACCTAAAAATAAAAATTCTCTTGGTGTTTTTACTTTTTCAAGTATTGCTCTGACTTTTGTAGTATAGCTTTATATGTAGACTTGCAGAACCACAGGTTTGACAAGTTGTTAGCATTGGAGGTGAACAACGGGTCAGATTCGAATTCGATTCATATCAATAAAGGTCACCCGATATTATTTTTGGATGTTTTCATTCAAAGCATGAAAATTTAATTAAAAAATTTCCGGTATCTCTCATATTCTAATACTTCAAGTAGAGTTAGTTCAGTTTAAGTTGAGTATAACAAATCTGAAATTATAAAATTGTTTTAAAATTTTAAAAATTTTATAATATTAAACTTTAATCAAGAAAACTCTAGAAGTAAATCAAATTA